TTTTTTTTGCTGTGTTTTGTTTTTGGGGCCGGGGGGGGGGGCCGGGGGGGGCCCCCCCCCCCCCCCCCCCCCACACACACACACACATGCCTTTAAATGGCTGCACTGTGACGAGCAGAAGCCCAGTCAGCTCTCTGTCTTGCTCCGCTGGTCCGACTTAAAGCAGGTCAACTGTGGGTTAATATCATGGACAGTGTGCATACAGTGTGAAGACTGCACACACTCACTAACACATAACATATACACTAAAAACAGTATTTTTGGGCTTTCTTATCACTTTTTCGCCGTTGAGTTATTATGCATAATCACACAAAACTATCGCTGCAGTTATTCTGGCCGATATTGTTGAAATTGATGTCACGATATTGGTACCAGTATTTTTCCGATGTTGATTTGTATGTATTACACCGTTTACTGTTACATCGAACAAAAACTACAATTTGCTTGGAATCATTCAACATGTATGATCATATCATCATAATAAGATCTTAATGGAAGACACTATAGAGACACATGATAACGTTGAATTATGTCCCAGTGCTACGGCAAACAGAAACAATGTCATCTGAAAAAGAAAACAAACATTTCGCACTGAGGCCCCGAATAGATTTTCAAGCCAACGTACTGATCGTCAACATAGTGATTATGTAGTATTGTAGTGGTCAGCGTGCCAGCAGGATAGCAGGAGTAAGATCAGTCCTGAGGAGTCCGCATCATGCTCTATGCTCAGGCCACTGATAACCTTAAGACAACAGTGCAGCAGATTCTGTGTTTCTGTGCTTTTAGCTGACCAGAGAATATTCAGTTCAAACAGATCAGTGATGCTGTTTCACCCTCTTTGTTTTCCCTGTGAAGTCCGCTGGAAGTGATGTGCCTAATGTAGTTTCATGTAGAGTGAGCACTGTGCTGGTGCTTTAAAAATAGCCTTCGAAATGCTACATTCCCTGTCAGCGACCGGTCGTATGTTAACTTGGGAGGCAATCTGGCCTTGTGTGCACTGAGTGAGTCTGTGAGTGAACGAGTGTGCGCCTCTGTTTTGTTCACGGCTAATCTAGCATTCTGCTGCAGCAAACTGCATCATATTTTTCACAGTTTCTGTGCAAGTTGCTCCACACGATATTTAAAAGTGAGCCATATCCAGAGCTATTTATAAGACGAAACAATTTCAGTTTTAGTAGTATTAAGTGCATGGATGTTGGTGTAAAGGGAGGTGCAAACTGGAATTATGGGCTCTTGAGAATGAAATACATTTAGTCATTTCTGCATTCAGAGAAAAAATATTAAAGGCAGATTGTAATCCTGAAACAGTTGGAAAAATGACTCATCATAAAAATGGCTATTGTGAGTCTGTGTTGGAGTGATACTATTGGTTACGTGCAGTGTAAATAGTAAAGGGACCTAGCACAGACCCTTGTGGTGCTCCGTATTTATCCCAAAGGAGGTTGTTTTGAGACCGTCAGCATAGACTGCCTGTGTACTGTGAGACAACTATCCATTTCTTAAACCTGTAGATATCAGTATTGGCCTCCAACGTCCTGTCTCAGTTGGGAACTGGTTGCAGCAATGTGTACAGTAGCTCTATATATGGAGACTCTGTAGCAGCCCCCCTTTTCTTTCTGCTGGTTTGCACCGGGCCAATCACACATGAAGTCCTGTTCCCCTCAGCTCTATTTTCTACTGTTTTTAAAAAACTTGTATTAATCTGCAGAGAGCACAATGGCTTTTTTTCTGCAGCGCACCCAGGAAATGCTACAATAGCACTTTTCTTTTTTATTTTTCTTGCCTGAACTGGTGCAGCATTTTCCACCAACAGCCTCCCAGTCACAAGCCCCATCCAGCCATCATCTCACCGCCAACTCGCTGCATTATGTTTAAAATGTGTCATTTTTTTGCATGAGAATAAGTCAAGAGCCTCAGACAGCAGCTGCTGGAGTCTTTGTTAGTGTCTTCTTTTTTTAACTACCAGCTCTGCTGTAAAAGACAAAAGCCCTTCTTCATCTTGTCAGCTATTATTTGTTCAACTATGCGATGCGTCAAATAAAAGACATACAAAGAGGCGACTGCATAAAGGGTTATTACAGAGAATTTCATCGTCGACAGTGAGGCACGTAACGCAGGTTCAGTGAGTTCAGGAAGGGAGAGAGAGCGAGAGAGAGGCCGATGAATTTATCTAAATTTGCATCACGTATTGCAGCTCGACATTTTCCACAGCAGCACAATCTCAGGAGCTTCTTCTTTTGGTTTTCTTCCCGCACATAAGCTCCTCCCTCTCCCAGACAAAGATACTCCATCAACTGAGAATGAGTTTGTCTTTTATGTCACGTTTACAGAGCGCACACACAGTAGCAGTAGTGGTGCTGGACAGTACACTGTAAAGAGGGCGATGGATTTAGAAATGATCCTCTTAGAGTTAGAGTCAGCCACGCCTTATGTTTCGACTGACAAGGACTGAATGCAGAAAAACAGAAATGTCCCAAGGTAACTCATTTGCAGAAAAAATTAACTTTGATTTTTTTTTTTTTCTCCTCCCTGAAAATACATCCAGTGCGGGGTAGTGGTAATGTAATACTAAAATGTCAGCTGATATCCAGTATTCATTTGTTGATCAATTCAGAGCTGCGACAGCTGAAGCTCACTGTCTTATGTAACAGATTTAATCTGATTTATCACATGTGATTACAGTTAATTTACAAGGAAATGTCTTCAGATCTGATTCTGGTTATGAATGAATTATGTAAGATACTGTAACCCAGTTAAACCTGCAGCTCTGACTAAACTCTGACCACTGCTAAAGACTGAAAGCCTGCACTTTGTGACGAACTGTCTGTATCATTATTACAGAAAGTGCACAGCAAAAATGCTCAAATCAACACTTTTGTTGTTGTTTTTCAAATACAAATTAGCATTACTGTCATTGCTGACAATAGCAAGAAACTAGAGACTGAGAGCCATCATTTGTGACCCGAAGACAAGCCCCTGTAATACTGTAATGTACTGTTCCAGCTCTCAGTGTAAAGCTGTTTCCATTGAGCCGCTGCCT